CAGGACATATAATCAGTGCATACCCGCAGCACAGGTCACAGCGCACACATACGCTTCACTCAGGGAACAATGGCTTTTTTTTCTTCCTCTTTGTATTTTCCATCAACTTAGAATGATTAAGCATCTCACAGTGGGCTAAGTGCTTTGGAAAAAGCATCCATCTACTCATTCTACAAAAATTATGAGACACCTACTATGCCTGGTGCACATGGAGCAGGGCACTGGGCATACAAAGATGAAGCAGACAGAGAGCTCTCCCCTCAGGGAGCTCACATTCCAGTGACTGAAATAGGCAGCAAACAAGTACATTTCCATCCTGGAAGGAAGTAAAGCAGGGTGCTGAGAGGGAACATGATAGGGAGAGGGGAGATGGTCAACTTTAGGTCAGTGGTCAGGGAAGGACTCCGGAGGAGGGGACATTTGAGCTGAGTACTGAGGATAACTGGGCCCAGGACGGCTGCCCCACTCCCCACTGCATGCAGGCAGAGCTGGGCTGGCACATGCCCCTGGCCTTCTTCAGCACTGACCCTGGTGCCCTGGAAATATGACCTCCACTGGCATCCCAGCAGGGATGTACCACCTTTTCCTTTGGCTGTCACAATTTCCTTTTGCTGGTGTTGGGGGGAGGAAAGGTATCAAGTACTCCCCTGGGAGATGGCATCCGCCAAGTAAAGGAAAAGATTTTTCATTCTTCCCATGAGCTAAGCAAGGGGGGCACCACGGGTTTGGGGAGGGAGGTAACACAAAGTTTTGTCCAGTGTCACAGATATCACAGACACACTTCTTGCAAAGGGCCTCCTGCAGGCCAGGTTCTACCTGAGTGACCCCCATCCCAGCCCTGTCCTCGTCCCTCATGACCCGTGACCTCCTGGCATCTGTGACCCTCTGCTACCACTGGGTCTAAACCTCTCTCGCCTGCCTGCCCACTTGCCTGCTGGCCTGCCAAAGCTAACCCTAGGGGTAGCCTGCCTGGGCAGGGCAAAGGAGCCAACAGCCTGCCTGCGGTTTCATTTGGAGGGAGTTTTCACCCTCGCGTCTTCCTTTTAGGGCAATGTCGTGAAGGTTCTCAGGAATCTGGTATTATTCGGGGGGTGAGGGGGCTGGGACAGTGACTCAGAAATAGACACAGTGCCCGGAAGGGAGGGGAGGAGAAGGTTCAGGATCTTTGTCATCGAGGCAGCCAAAGTTGTAAATCTTACCAAAGATGTTAGACCCAAAAGAGAGAGGACAGTGAACGCAACTCCCCCTGGGCCACACCTGCCTTTTCTCCCTCTCCCATGTACCAGATACTGCTCCTCACAGCAACTTTATACAGTAGGAACCACCCTTTCCATGCTACCGGTGAAGAAAGTGAGGCCCAGAGAGGTTAAGTCACTTATACAATGCCACACAGCGTGGCAGACATGCAGAAAGGACGAGAGCCCAGGACTTTTGGTCCTAGCTCCTTCTGCTTCCCTCACATCATCAGACCCAGGCAGCTCTCAGCTGAGAGCCGAGAGGGAAGAAAGCTAGGATTTCAACCCTTTGTGCTCTGCAGACTCAGTACTGGGGCTCACCCTCCCAGCAGGATAGGCGGCCTCGCATTCCACCGCAGGCTAAACTGGGTGCATGGGGAACATGGCCCTGCCCAGCATTCTGTAAATGAATGCTGACAGCCTTCCAGGCACCAGCTTCAACGGGTTGACTCACCAGTGGTTTGCTGGGCAGCTGATATGTGGTGGGTGCCATTCTAGACGCTGGTCCTGACTTCAGAGAACTTGCAGTCTGGGAATGGGAGAAAGACAGACCATCAGCTGGAAAGCCCAACCACATGTGCTATAGCGGTGTGTGTGTGTGTGTGTGTCACTGTGGAACATCAAGATGCTGGAATGACGTAGATCTGAGAGGGGTGATCAGGCTGCTGCTGGAGGAAACTTGGGCAAATTAATTAATCTCTCAACCTCAGTTTCCTCATCTGTAAAATGGGATGGTCGCTACCTAATAGGGCTTTTGTGAAATGAGGAAATGCAAATCAAGTGCTTAGCATGACACCAGGCATAGAGTAGTAACTTTATAAATTTCAATAAATTTCATCTACCCATATCCTTCTAGTTGACTCTTTCAACCAGAGTGTAAGCCCCATGAGGGCATGGGCTGGGTCTGCTTGTTCACTGCTGTATTGCCAGTGCCTAGAATGGCACATAGTAGGTGCTCAGAAAATATCTGTTTAATGAGTGCATAGGAAATGGCCCAGAAGAATTAGGAAGAGGCAAAAATATTCAGTTGCCCTTGAAATGGCCTTGCAGCCCTCTTCCCTCCTGGCTCCCCTCCAACTACCCACACTCACAAAGCACCCCAGCATTCTGCCAGGGAGAGCTGCCCACTGCCCCACCACCACTCTGCCCTGCACAGCTGAGGAACTCCACTCCAGCTGCCAGGGTACACATCTGTCTTCTCACAAGCCTCACTGCTTTCTCCAGAGGGTAGATTTTCTGGCTGGCCCTAAAGCCACTTCCACTGTGTGATGAAGGTGGAGCCCTGGGACCCTCCTTTCTGCCCTCCCACTCCCCCATGTCATCAGCTTGGAAGAAATCCATCTTTCCCAGAAGGAAGGATGGTCCTGGATGTCCTACACAAGGTCACAATAAGATTTTTCCAAACTTGGAGCAAACTGTCTCCCATGGATGAGGGTCCTCGTGGAGAAAGGGATAGACTTTTGGAAGAGTGGGTTGTGCTGGAATCTTGGGGCTTGTGGTATGGGACAGTGTGTGTGTGTGATGGTGAGGACGAGTGAAAGAAATGGTGATTCAGGCTTCATTGGGCAATGGTGTTTTTACTCCAGCTTTAAAAATTATATACACTTTCCGTTAAGAGTCATTTATTCCTTTAACCAGTCTGTCATTTAGCAGCCGTGCATGAGTGTCTCCTGTGTGCCTGGCCCAGTGCTAAGGGATAATGAGGGAGCCAGACAAACTCCCCGCCCTCCACAAAGGGATGATCAGCACTGAACAAGTCATTACAAGTGGGCCTGCTTTATGACAAAGTCTCAGGTGCTAAAGAGAGTCTTTATACTGTGGCAGGGCCGAGGGGGCCCTAACCTATCCCAGGGAAGCTGCCCCATGAAGCTGAGACCTGAAGGCCGAGGCCACGTGAAGGATTTTGTTAGAATTCACATGCTATGGTGGAAAACCTTTAGTTAATTTTTAAAAATTTATACATCCGGGACTTCCCTGGTAGCACAATGGTTAAGAATCTGCCTGCCAAAGCAGGGGACACGGACGGGCTCAGTCCCTGGTCCGGGAAGATCCCACATGCCACAGAGCAACTAAGCCCATGTACCACAACTACTGAGCCTGCACTCTAGAGCCCACGAGCCACAACTACTGAAGCCCGCGCACCTAGAGCCCATGCTCCGCAAAAAGAGAAGCCGCTGCAATGAGAAGCCCATGCACCGCAACGAAGAGTAGCCCCCTCTCATCGCAACTAGAGAAAGCCCGCGCGCAGCAACGAAGACCCAACACAGCCAAAAAAAGACAAAAACAAAAATTATACATCTGCATGGTAAAATTTCTAATAGTGCACAATGTTACACAGCAAATATTAAGACTCACCCCACCCTTCTCTCCTGACCTACCCGTCGCTTTGTTATAGGCCTTGTGTATGCCTGTGGTCACAGTCCACTTTTCTCTCCCTTAATTTTTTTTTTCAAATGGGATCATACTACATCAGAGGTTCTCAACCTGGGATGATTTTGTACCTCCCCCCTGCCCAGAGGACATTTGACAATGTCTGGAGATATTTTTGATTGTCACATCTGAGCAAAGGGGATTCTACTGTTATCTAATGAGTAGAGGCCAAGGATGCTGTTAAACATCCTACAATGCACAGGGCAATCCCCACAACAAAGAATTATCTGATCTAAAATGTTATTAGTGCTGACATAAAAAAGAACGAAATAATGCCATTTGCAGCAACATGGACGGACCTAGATTGTCATACTGAGTGAAGTAAGTCAGAGAAAGACAAATATCATATGAAATTGATTATATGTGGAATATAAAAAAAAGGTACAAATGAACTTATTTACAAAACTGAAATAGAGTCACAGATGTAGAAAACAAACTTTTGGTTACCAAGGGGGAAAGCGGGGGGATAAATTGGGAGATTGGGATTGACATATACACACTACTGTATATAAAGTAGATAACTAATAAGGACATACTGTATAGCACAGGGAGCTCTGTAATGACCTATATGGAAAAAGAATCTTAAAAAGAGCGGATATATGTATACATATAACTGATTCACTCTGCTGTACAGCAGAAACTAACACAACATTGTAAATCAACTACACTCCAATAAAATTTTTTTTAAAAGTCAATAGTGCTGACGCTAAGAAACCCTATCCTATATAAACACACTATGTCTGCAGCTTGCTTATGTATAATATATATACATTATTTATATATAAAATTATAACATATTGGGTTGGCCAAAAAGTTCATTTGGGTTTTTCTGTAACATCTTATGGAAAAACCTGAGCGAACTTTTTGGCCAACCCAATATATAGTAGATTATTCACGTCAGCATTAGTAGATCCACCTCATTATTCTTTGTGGCTGCATAATAATCCATTGCTTGCTCCATCATATTTTATTTAGATGTTTTCACTCTTTGGCTATTGCAGACGTGTTTACTGCAAGGAGTATTCTTTTCATACACTTGCCTTTCAGTCATGTGTGAAGTCAAAGCATAAACTGCTGGAAGTGACATGGACGAATCAGAAGGTTCACTGGTATTTTGAATGACCTCATTTCAAGTCTCTGGGGCATAGTCCATTGGGAGAGTGGGTCTGGGGTTCTGACAAAACAGGGCTGTGGTCCCCAAAAGTCTGGTGGAAAAGCTCCTGTTTGTTCTCATCTACAGACAAGGGTGTCCTGACCGCTCATCTCTCCACAGGACCAGGTGTCCCCCACCTGAACAACGAGCCAGGTCCTGAGTGATGTCCCCAAGCTGAGTGCCCATGGCCCTACCCTTCCCCATGGAGAAAGGACTCACTCTGCCCCAGGACTGCCGACACTTTCTGCACAGCCTGAGAATGAGGAGCAAATATGCCCTTTTCCTGGCTTTTGTGGTGGTGGTTTTTGTCTTCATTGAAAAGGAAAATAAAATCATATCAAGGTGAGGGATGCAAGCACAAGTCTTCCTATCAAGGTGGGGTGGGTGGGGGCAGAGAGGTAGCTTATAGGGCTCTCTGTGGACATACAAAGGCAATCCCTCAACCAGTAATCATCAGACCTCTCCTGTGCCCAGGCAGTAGGTCATGCCCATGTCCTCATGACTGCACAGCTGTGAGACTTGGGCTCCAGACTCAGGCAATGTGAGTTGGAATCCTGATTCTGGCACTTTTTTTTTTTTTTTTTTTGGCTGCAGCGCACGTCTTTCAGGATCTTAGTCCCCCCACCAGGGATCGAACCCATGACCCCTGCAGTGGAAGTATGGAGTCCTAACTACTGGACCGCCAGGGAATTCCCCTGATTCTGGCCCTTTCTAGCTGTGACAGCTTAGACAAATTATTTCACTTTTCTGTCTTAAGTCCCTCTTCTGTAAAACGTGACTAACAATGGGGCCTGCCTTGTTGTAAAGATTAAATAAGAAAATGTAAAAGCATTTAGCCCTGTGCCTGACACACAGTTGGTGTTCTGTACTTGCTGGCTATGGTTATTATTATTAATTAACTTCCTGGCCTAGGATGATGCCTCACATTAACAGCATATCTCCTATACCAATCTGAAGTCATGGATGAGGGTGAGGCAGGGTCCTGGTACAGATACCATGGTGGGCAGGGCTTCCATGTTCAGCTGCCCAGGTTGTGCACTGTTCAACTCCAGGGGTGTGCACTCACAATGGCTACGCTGGGAATGCTGCTCCCTAGAGTTGGCAGTGTACCGCTGTGCGCAGTGGCCCTGCTAGTGGGCCTACAAGACACAGAACGATTTCACGGACCTTCCCTCCGAAGCACAACCCCTGCAAGGAAGCATCAACCAGGATGGGTAGGTTAGGAATAGGGCTATGTAGTAGGCACTATGGCAGTGCCCTGCCTGGGTTTCTTAGCATGGACTGCTCCAGTTTGTGCCTACTGGGTCCTATTGCAAGATCCTGCAACTCTCCACCTGAGGGCATTCTCTCCACGTGCACACTGGCAAGCCACAAGTCCTGGGGAGTAAATGCCTCTGGGAGCAGCCCTCAGTCAAGGCCAACTGGGAGCTTCACACGGTTTGGGTAGAGAATCCTGAGGTGTGTTCTATCTACACCGTCTCCTGGGGTTCCTCCGGCAGAGCGATTTGGCCACAGGGGTAGGCTGCTCACCCTTACGGACTTCCTTTCCTCCCTGCCTCACTTCCCTACCCCTCTACCCGTTCTTCCTGTGATCAAGTCCCAAATAAACTACTTACACTCAAATCCTTGCCTCAAAGTCGGCTTCTGGGTGATTATCCTGGGATGCTCCTCAGGGTGGCACAGGGGATGGAGTCCCCAGTCAGTCATTGACCCTGGTATCCCTCTGTTCTCACAGGGTCTCGGACAAACTGAAGCAGATCCCCCAATCCCTGGTAGATGCCAATAGCACCGACCCAGCCCTAGTCTTGGCCGAGAACGCATCCCTCCTGTCCCTGAGTGAGCTGGATTCGGCCTTCACGCAGCTGCAGAGCCGTCTGCGAAACCTCAGTCTGCAGCTGGGCGTGGCGCCGGCAGAGGAGGCTGAAGAGGAGACCACAGAGTGGGAGCAGGAGTCCCGCCCACCCGCCGAGGCCCCGCCCCGGCGCCACTTGCTCCTCATGGCCACCACGCGCACGGGCTCCTCATTTGTGGGCGAGTTCTTCAATCAGCAGGGCAACATCTTCTACCTCTTCGAGCCGCTGTGGCACATCGAGCGCACGGTGTCTTTCGAGCAGGGCGGCGCCAACGCCGCGGGCTCGGCCCTGGTATACCGCGACGTGCTCAAGCAGCTCTTCCTGTGCGACCTGTACCTCCTGGAGCATTTCATCATCCCGGCACCCGAGGACCACCTGACCCAATTCGTGTTCCGCCGGGGCTCCAGCCGCTCCCTCTGCGAGGACCCCGTCTGCACGCCGCTCGTCAAGAAGGTCTTCGAGAAGTACCCCTGCAAGAACCGCCGCTGCGGCCTCCTCAACATGACGCTGGCCTCTGAGGCCTGCCGCCGCAAGGAGCATATGGCAATCAAGGCCGTCCGCATACGGCAGCTGGAGTTCCTGCAGCCGCTGGCCGAGGACCCCCGCCTGGACCTCCGCGTCATCCAGCTGGTGCGCGACCCCCGCGCTGTGCTAGCCTCCCGCATGGTGGCCTTCGCCGACAAGTACGAGACCTGGAAGAAGTGGCTGGCCAAGGGACAGGACCAGCTGAGGGAGGAGGAGGTGCAGCGGCTGAAGGGCAACTGTGAGAGCATCCGCCTGTCCGCTGAGCTGGGCCTGAGGCAGCCGGCCTGGCTGCGGGGCCGCTACATGCTGGTGCGCTACGAGGACGTGGCTCTCAGGCCGCTGCAGAAGGCCCAGGAGATGTACCGCTTTGCAGGCATTCCCCTGACCCCGCAGGTGGAGGACTGGATCCAGAAGAACACCCAGGCGGCGCACGACGGCATCTACTCCACGCAGAAGAACTCCTCGGAGCAGTTTGAGAAGTGGCGCTTCAGCATGCCCTTCAAGCTAGCGCAGGTGGTACAGGCTGCCTGCGGCCCCGCCATGCGCCTCTTTGGCTACAAGCCTGTGCAGGACGCCGCCTCGCTCTCCAATCGCTCCGTCAGCCTGCTGGAGGAGCGCGGCACCTTCTGGGTCACGTAGGGGACCCGGGGCGTCGAGCACCCCTCCTGGTGAAAGTCCCGCCTTGCCTGCCTCACCCAGGCCAGCTGGGAGACTGCAGCGCCGCCGCAGGGGTGGGCAGGAAGACGCGCACGGCGTCGTTGGCGCCTGCGCCGTAGAAGTAGGCCCCTAGCCCGCTCGCTTCCCCGCCCTAGCTGTGGGCCTGGAGCTTCCCGCTGAGAACAGGACAGTGGCCGGCCCTTTTGAGGGCTGTCAAACCCAGACCTAAGGGGCTGTGGTGTCCTGAGCAGGCCCAGGCAGGCCCGAGCCTATCGTCAAGCCTTTCTCTCCTCTGTCTCCTCTCTCTCTCTCTCTCTCTGTCTCTCTCTGTGTCTCTGTCTCTCTCTGACTCTGTCTCTCTCTCTCTCACACACACACACGCACACACACACACACACACACACACACAAATATACATGAAACACACATAGGTGCCTGTAGACCCTGTGGCTCAGAGTCCACAAATATTTAACAACCAGAAGGGGTTTCAGACACTGACTAGTCACAGTCAGACCCCCCTGCTGTACTCAGTGTCAACCTTTCAGTTTCCGAATTTCTCCATAATCCAGTGTGGCATCTGGGTGGGTCCCTGGGGAGAGGTGAAATCAGCTCTATATAGAGCTACAAAACAAACATACACATATAAAGACAAATACCTACACTCACACCACACGCACAGGCAGAAGAACATAAAAACACAAACACACACACAGAAAAAAATCTTCCCCTTTGCTTGATGCTTTATCTGTATCACACACCTAAAGAAAAGCCTCTGATTACCTTTTAGAGTTATTCGGGGAAGGGGGAATGATATACAGTCATGGGCCATGACCCTGTTCCCCATCCAAGTTGGAAGCTGAATGGTGGATACAGAACTGCCAAGTCCATGGCCTCTGCCCACCTTAGATTCTCGTGGCTACCTCCCCTGACCCATTTGTGTCCCTGCTGCTAGCAGGCAGCATGGTTTGAAATGGCATGGCTGACCCTCGTGTGATCGCAGCCCGAAGGCCCTGTCCTAGCTCAATTGGCTCCCCGAGAGCAGGTCCATATTTGAAAGCGGCCTCAAGCCTGACTGGCAGGAGCATCAGTGGTCCCTGGAGGCAAAAGGCAGCTCATGAGTCCTGTCATTTCCAGCCAGGCCGCTGTGGGGCAAGGCCCATAAGGAAATAGAGTGCTCCTGAGGGAGAAGTCACATCAGGATACCCCGTCCCCTGAGAAGACAGGGGACAGAGGTCAGCCACATGGTTGGTCGTCATGGTTATGTGGTTAGTGTCTGGAATTCCTCATTTAGGGCTCTGGGAAGAGTATTGCTCAATGTGGGATGGGGTGCATGTTTTATTTTTTTTAAGTTATTTATGGTTTGGTCTCTTGTGGCTGTGTTTTCAGGTTTGTTTCTACAGGAGTGCTGCTTGGAAGCATTGTGGGCTTGAGGGGCTGAGGGGGGCCGGGAAGACCAGTGGGGAGCACTTTGGCTCCTGCTGGAGGAAGAGGAGGAGGAACCTTCCCCCAGAAGGACCAGAGCCAAGGTGGCCACATGGCAGCCCACAGCGCCCCATGGGCTTTTTTGTTTGATCCCACGTGGAACAAATGTCAGAAACCAGTAGCGTTCTTTGCTGAGTGTCCAGAGGCAGCATAAATTAGCAATCCTCACCCCCTCCCCAAGAAGAGGCCAGATTTGAACATCTCTCCTAGGTCCTACCATGTTTCCTGGGGCGTCAGGGGCCTATGACCAAGCAGATGTCCCCAGGGTGGAAGCGTTTCCCCATTCCCACCCCAAACTGGGGAGCAGCACTCAGTACCACCTCAGAACTGGCAGGAAGCATCAGCAGTTCACTAAGGGCTGTTTCTGATTTCCTGGACAACCTCTGTATCAGATCCGCCTCATTGTCAAGCCCAGAGGGCTGAGTTTTGTTTTGAGTATTATGGGGAGCAGGGAAATACAGGATCTGGGTCCAGCTAGTGTTGCCATAGGGAAGAGGGGGGTGTGTCCTGGCAGGAAGCCAGCCTTTGAAAAGGTGAGGACAGTGGCCACCTTGTGGGATCCATTACAGTCAGTGCATTTGAGCTGCTGGGTCTCCATCACCATGGATTCAGCCAATCGAGGACGTCTCTAGGTTTTCTGTTCCAAGAATAAATTGTGCCGGGAAATGGCTCTAATTTGGGGTCCAAAGGGACTCCAGCTCTGAAAACTTGATCCTGGGGCAGAGTGGGGCCAGGATGGTTCTGGCAGGCCCAGAAGTACTGGCCATTCTTCCCCAGCCCTTGCCCTGCTCCCTCCACTGTTCCCCACCTGGGGGTGGTGGGGGGCAGGCACCTCTATCCAAGGCCCTTTCTGGTTCCTGGGGCCCTCCTAGTGTGGACTGCAGATTTCTTCCTTCTTCCCTTCCTGTGCCTCTGGGGCCAAGGCCTCCACCCCCGAGCTCTGAGGACTATGCCGAGAATGGACCTTTGGGACTTCTCAGGACATTATCAATTTGTACACTGCAGGTTGACTTAATTTATTTATTTTGTGAAAAAGAAGAGACAGAAAATATTTTGTTTTTTGCAGGGACTCAAAGCTGTACCCAAATCAAAAAAGACGATAATAATAGAAACCATTCACTTCGTACATACAAGGATACTCCAAGACGATTCAGAATACACGAGAGGACAAAACTGAGAGCGTGGGAGTCACGATGGCCGCAGGGTATTTTTTTAGCTCGGTTTCCTCTTGTTGATTTGAAGATGTGACAGCAAGGCCCTTTCTGCTATATTACCTTTGTCCAGGCATCTGAAATAGGACACAACTCAAGAGAGTGTTGCCTTGGGCTCAGCAATGCTCTGGGAACCCTTGGGGCTTAGGGAGGAGAGGGAGGGATGTCTACTGACTCTACACTCCATGGGACCTGGAGTAACGTGTGAGGGGTTTTCAGCAGGGAGCTGGGCTAGGGGAGGTGGTCCAGCTGGGAGCTAGTGCCTCCTCTTCCAGCGAGGCCAGCCCTGGTTTCTCTGCTCCCTCTGGCCCCCTACGAGCCTTCACCTCCACAGCACCCACCTGCCCAGAGACAGAGGGAGTGTTGAGGCCTCACCTCCGCCCGCCGCCAGCTTCCCTGGAACAAGAGGCTCATTCAGCAATGAACGTTTATTCGTTTTTCTTTTTCTTCATGAAGACCTCTTTAGCCCAGCCTATAAAAATAGTTCAGAACATTCCAGGCCTTGGTGAGACAGGGCAGTGTCCAACACCCTCAGGCTGTTGCCACTGCTGCCCATTCCTGGCTTCTCCTCTGGGCCTTGTTTATAAACCTTGGAGTGGATGAGGACATGGGGGGAAGGGTCTTTGGGAGCAGGATTTTGCGGGGGCAGGATTCCTAAGTCCCATGAAGAGGGAAAAAGCAGCAGCAGATGTGCAGATCTCTGTAGCACGGACCTTGCAGGTTATCACCAACTTATTATTAAGGTTGAGAGACGTAAGCAGATTCTAGCCCTCTGTCCCTTTATGTGATGCACTCACTTGAAAATAAGTAACCAAATGAACAGGGGAAAAAAATGTTTGCCTGCCAGCACCCTCAGCCTGGGAGCTATGCCAGAGGCTGGTCTAATGGGACAGCTGTGACCAAACCCTTAAGAGCAGAGGACCCAACCGACCCATTACAGGAACATCTTTCCCTTCCACCTCTGCTTTCTGAACAAGCTCCAGGAGGTCCCTGTCCCAGAAGACATATGCTTGGCCTAGAGAGCAGACAGGAGATGTAAGCATCTCTTCCAGCCCAGGTTCTGTGTTAATTGTCTATGAGGCCTATCCCTTCAGAGGCCCTGGATTATGAAGGACAGGGGCAGAAGACTGGATGGCTGTGTCCCCAAGGCAGTCCTCTCCCACTCCCATCCCCAAAGGCTGAAAGCAAAGGTGGGTCTCAGAGGGGTGGGTTCCTGAGGCAGGGAGAGTGGGGTGGGGGAACAGATGCCTGCAGAGGATGCTCCTTCTTTAAACTTGTGCAGTCTGACGAGCTCCAAGAAGTGGATCTTGTTAGTCTGCACAAATTTAGAGAAGGAGCGCCCTCTGAGTTCCAAAGTTAAATGAGTTTGCCTGTGAAGATTCCTAGCACATGGTCCAGCTAGAAGGCAGGGAGGCGGCCCAGGGTTTCCTGAATGTAGCCACATGGCCTTTCAACTGCCCATGGTTCCAGAAGAGTGGAAGCTGCTCTTTACCTCAAAAGGATGAAGCAGAATTGGCAGCTCAGATGTCTTAAGAACTTCAAGATCCTAGGGTCTTGTGACCTTTGTCATTCCATACTGTGCATGCGGGACTAATTAGTTATGTGTTTCCAAGATTACATGGTGCCATCTTCAGGGCCTAGCTCATACTGTAGACCAGGTATTTTATTTGTATTTATTTGTCAAATAAAATGACCTATGTTCCTTGCTTCTTCTATCATTGGGCTTGAACTGGTCACCCCCTAAAGTCTCCCTTTCATCTGTACTTTCTAGGCCATGTCTGCCTGGCTCCCCTGCTCCCTCCTGGTTCCTGCAAACTCTTTTTGCCAAGAATTTTGGCCCTCTGTCATGTTTCATGGCCGCATAGTACAGGATACCCCTTCATGGCCATACATGGCCATGGTATGTACATATGTGTCCACACGTGTGTATGTGTAGCATGTAGCTCAGCCTGCTTGGCCATGTTGCTCCCAGCCCCCTTGCCATCAATGTCCCAGATGTTCTTGTCGTGGCTACAATCTCCTGGAAACACAGGGGCTGCCTTCAGAAAGCTGGTGGCCACCACCAGTCAGGATCTTCTCTGCAGAACAGAATGTGAACCCATCACCTGATGGCTTACTTGATTTATTTAATTAAAAATGAAAACGCGCAATGAGCAGAATCTGAAGTGTCTCTGCCCTCTTTTTTGCATTTACTCTCAGCAGCAACTGGGTTGTAAAAATTTAACAGGAAAATTTGTACGTCAATTATATTTCAATAAAGCTGGAGTGGGGAGGGGAATAGGAAAAAAAAAAGTAACAAGGAAAAAAATTAGCAGCAGTA